ACTTTAAAGGGAATAGCTCTACCTGATTTAGAGCTGTCTTAATTGTTCAGTAATCCAAATTTTAAGTACAATGAACGAGCATTAGCAGAAATACACCGATTGAAAGTCTCATTTCTGACGAAAGGTAGACACCGGGAGAGAACCTCCTCCTTTTTTTTAAGTCGGTTCAAAATAATTTAATTTTTACATTTTTAGTGGCTAGTAGTTGTATTACTATATAACATATATACCAACTAAACGCACTGCTCCAATCTGACAGCAAGGTTTCGTTAGTAAACAAAAATATCATCGATACACACAATTCTTAGAATTTTGTTGATTTTTATTTAAAAACCGCTTAACTTATTTTAATTAAATTTACATAGGACCACCTGGGAAGTAAAGCCTTTAAAACAAAAAAAAAATTCAAATCGGTTCAGGCGTCTTCGAGTAATCGGTGAACATCCATAAAAAAAAGATACCATTTGTCGTATAACCTCAGTTTGAGAGCGCACCTCCCTAACTGCCTCAGCCAGCATCGGAATCCTAGGCATCGACATATCGAGCGAAGTCCAGTTTCGGGGTCACTTAGAGGGTAAGGTCAAATTGGCCTCGAAGAAGCTCGGTGTGCTGAACAGATCGAGGCAGTATTTCACTCCGGCCCACCGCCTTCAGCTCTATTCTCTATTCCTTCAGCCGCAAGTCCGGCCGCATATGGAATACTATTCTCATCTCTATGCAGGGGCAGCTCAGTACCAGTTTCTCCCTCTGGACCGCATCCTACGAAGTGCGACTCGAATTGTCGATAGCCCAAACATCTACGATCAGCTCGATCCCTTGCCGTTATGTAGAGATGTGGCTTCACTCCGCATTCTCTATCGCAAATATCATGGACAGTGCTCCGAGGAATTGTTCGGACTAATACTAGCCACAAATTTCCGGCCGTGGTTCCACACGGCAAAAATTTCATTACGTCATTATTACCTGGATAGTTGGCGCTCCACTACTGTGCGCTTTTCAAGACACTTTTTGCCCAGCTCAACCAATCTGTGGAAAGGTAATAAGGTTATCGTCTGCGGTATTTCCGGACCGATACGACCTTCAAACCTTCAAGAAAAGAGCGTACTCCTTCCTAAAAAGCCGGCAACGCGTTTGTGACTCCTGAGTTGCAGACGTTCATGGACGGCGATGGTCACTTTCCATCAGGTTACCCGTCTGCTCGTCTGCCCCCTCTAACATAAAAAAAAAGATTCCGACAAATTGAAAAGTCCTAATTTTTTTAAGTCGGTTATAAATATTTAACATAAGCTGGAGACATATTACAGTTTGAAATATCAGTCGAATTCTGTGTATTTATAAACAAACCAATGTTTTTCTTTTACGTTGTTTACAATCTTATTACATGTAAATAAACTTACTGTTTATAAAGTATCTCTAGTTGCAATATTGAGACAGATATCTGTGATCTGCAGTCAACTAAGTGTTGAGCGATCATGAAACTCAGGTAAGTCACATTATTTATTTTAATCAAAAATTGTCTTCCATTAAACAGTAAGTAATGAAGCTAGCAGAAAGCAAATTTTCTCTTTTTATTACTATTCTGGGGGGCTCAACGCACTTTTATTTAATGGGACTAATCCCTACCACACGCCCACCACTGTAACTCCTGTACACCAGGATCAACAACAGCGACCCACGAACACACCGAGTTATGACACTCGGGCAATCCCATGAAAAAAATTAAACAGTCTTGGAACCCATCACGAAATTAATCAGAAGAAAATTGGAGGAGTTGGAAATACTGTTAATCCACTTCTCTATTTAGCAAAGCGGGAGACAAAATGAAGCTCAACACACTTATGGCTCCCTGGTGACCCGACATACCTCGGGTCATCTACAGACGAGTAGACGATCCCCCTCCCCGTGTGGGAACCCCATGTTCCCTGTGCTCCCTGGAAGCGAGCGCACTTCGCAACGCGCTCGACGCCACCCGGCCTGCTTCTGCTAGGGTGACAGATGGCCTCACCTGTCACCCCCAGGCCTGCGCTTATGGAGGACGGAGGTCGTTCTGCGACCTCCGGCGCCTGAGTCGCCTGCGGTACCTGGCCCGTTCCCGGGCCTGGCGTCCAGGGACACCGCCAATATCACTTCGCCCCAGGAGACTGCTTCCTCCGCCAGAGCCTTCACGCGCATGATCGCATCCACGGTGGAGCGCTCCTGACGGAAACCGTACTGGTTGTCCGCCAGATCCGGCAACACCATCACGAGATGCTTGACGAGGCGCCTTGCAATCACTCTTTCAAAGAGCTTGCATACCTCGTCAAGCAACACTAAGGGCTGGTAGGCGGACGGTGAGTCCGCCGGGCACCCCTCCTTTCGGATGAGGACCAGTTTCCCCGTCTTCCACAATTTCGGAAACTGGCCCCGCTCGAGGCATGCGCTGAAGAACCCTCGCAGTCGGTGCTCGAGAGCCTCGTCGACTAAGGCCAGGACCCACGCTCGGCCAGGAATGCCATCGGGTCCCGGCACGGTGATTTAGCTTTAAGCCGTAACACCGCCACCCTTAGTTCCACCCCAGTGACCTCAGGCACGTCGTCGTCATCCACGTTAGGCGCCTCAAGCGCCGGAGGCGGAGCCATCTGTGGCGGAGTATGCTCCACCACTCGCGTTGGGAACAGGGAGCCAACGACCCTCTCAAGCAGCTCTGGCTGAATACACCGGGTGAGCGGCGGGGCCCATGGGTGCATCTTGCCCCTAACCATACGGTAGGGGCGTCCCCACGGATTCCGCTCCAGTGTCTCCAGCATCTCGCGGCGGGCCTCGCTCTTGGCCCGCTTTATCGCTGCCTGAAGGGTCCTCTTGGCAACCCTGTAACCCGCTAACAGCTCCGCCTCTCTCGCTGCCGCATCTTCGGGGCTGCGACGCCTCCTGCGGAACCTGGACCACTGGCGGCGCGCGGTCACGCAGGCTTGACGCAGCCTCCCGGAACCACTGTGCCTCAGCATCGAAGTCGACAGGCCGGTACGGCGCAGGAGCCCAGGCCTGTACGACGGCGGCTTCCAGGAGGAGGTCGCGATCTAAGCGCTTGAGCGCCCAACGCGGTTCAGGTGGTGCCGGTCTGACCGGCGCGCCATCTGTAGGGGCGGAGACGTCAAACCGAATATATCGGTGATCAGAACCTGTCTCCTCCCCGACAACGACGCGCCAGCCCTGGACACGACGGGCTAGCAAGGGGCATGCGAACGAGTTGTCCACGATCGAACTACCCCTCGCCGTCACGAACGTGGCCACGGCCCCCCGGTTTAGGAGAACTAGGCCGAATCTTTCAGCCCAGTTCTCTAATGCCCTGCCCCTCGGGTTCGTGCGCAGGGAACCCCAAGCCTGCGACCAGGCGTTGAAGTCCCCCAGCACAAGAACCGGGTGGGGGCGACAGGCATCCAAGTCCATGCCATAAACAATTTCAGCTAAATCTGGAGGGGTTAACATTTAGCATTTTGTTTGCTAAATGCTTGTGTACTATTAGTAGTTAACAGAGTATGGGCTTGTGATGTAGCTTGTATGTCCAAAGTTAACTGTGGTTTTCACAAGATGATCACAGTTTATCGAATCTAGATCCCCAGAGTTCTATCGTAAAGGCAGAAATGAACTTCCGTTTGGCAGGTTTCCGATGGCAGCAATGTTTAGAAAATAGGGGTTAATATTTTTATTAAATAAATACCTAGAAAAAAACAAGTTACAATTTTTCAGTATAAATCGGCAATTTCATACTTTAACCCCTAATATTAAAAGTATTTTTTGTAAAAACAAATAATTGAGGCAATTTAATTTCCACTTCTTATATAATGTACTTAATTATCTCTTTTTGGTTCTTGATACAAATTATATTTGTTTCAAAGTATTCCAAAAAATACCTTTGTATTATAAAATAAAACAAAAGTCAACATTTCTTTATGAATGGCAATAGATTTTGTCATTCAACAGGAGTTTTTATTTTAATTTTTTTTTTCTTTATTACATGAAAAACGGAGAGCCAATTACAAGTTTTCACTTCTAGTTGTAGACTAACAGAAGTTGTTGTAAGCAAATAGGTTTGGAAAGCGTAACAAATGAGAAATAAAAAAAAAAAAAAACTATCAAAAACACCTTCCTTAAGCGTCGAATATCACAGCAACTGAGTAAGCATTAACACAATGTCAATAATATAATAATAGTCCAGTCATTTAAGCTTAAATTAGGTAAGAATCTCGGAATTCGAGATACTCAGCTGTAAGTCTGTAAATACTTGTATATTGACACCCTAAAAGTTGTCTCAAAACCTACATATGGTAGGGTGTAAGCAACTATTAAATTTCAAGGTCAAAAGTCACAAAAATCGGTATATTGCGCTTTTTTTGGAAATATCTCATTTCCTATGGGTTTTCTGCTATTTGTATTCATTATCAATATTGTAGAATACAAAATTCTCTACAAATTTTGTTTAAAAAAAAATTTTATACGGTGAACCGTTTTCGAGATAGAGGGCGGAGAGCGCGCGGTCACAGCATCACTTCAGGTCAACCGGTGCCTCCGGTCGAAAACGCGCCATATATAGTTGATGAACTATCGATAAATCAATGATTATAAATAAAAATTGTTCGGCCCAGAGATTATTAGAGAGTGGAACTCAAACCTTATTGGCAGTCTATAATGCTCCGAAATCTGTGAAAAGTCTCGATCCTCTTCGTTATATGCATTACGTCAAGTCTACAAAACTACGCCATCCGGTCGTCTGAACACATTATGCCTTTTTAATAAATTAAAAAAACAACAAAGAAAGCGTCATGGTTTTCCTTCATTGAGTTTATAAAATTACCTACATTATTATTTTCAGAACTTTCTTACTATGGAATTGTATAAGCGGCATTTTAGCTTACTGGGATTGCGGAACAACAACAATAAGTGCTTCTCTATGGAGATTTGATCAATGGGTAGCACGACAAAGTAGATTCAGATGGCAACGGTCAGAAAATTATTATTGGAAGATGATCACGCCTTGGTGGGATTGGTATGAACTAGAATTTAGAAAAAGACTCTATGTGGTCGCTGGAGTCTCTTATCGTAAGTTAAATTCAATAGCGAGCGAGACTTAGTACTAGAGTAGTATTTAATGTGTATGTGTGTGTGTGTGTGTGTGTGTGTGTGTAGCATTTAACACCTATCATCGCATTCCTTTTGTACAGTCCTGTCTTTTTTCATTAAATCACAGCCACTAATTGTGGAAAAAATACTACCACAAAGAAAAAGAAAATAATGACAAAGAAAATCTAATCTATACTTATTAATAAAAGAGTAGTAAAGTGTCTGAACATTGAATTTGTTTGGATATTATAACTCAGAAAAACCCATGGAGTAATGAATTTTTTATTTCTTTTATTTTTGTCTGTCTGCTTATCTGTATGATACGCAATCATGCAAAAACTACGAAACAGTGATTTAGCATATTTGGAGTCAACATATGCAATAGTATTATCTTCGAAAAACTGACCTACCATGGCAGCCCGAAGTGCAGTTTAATTTTTTGTTTTGTTTTAATTTAAACAAGTTTAATTATATAAAGTAGAATAATTTCCCATTTCACTTTAGCGACACGTTAGAAATTACTGCATTTTTTTAATAAACTTACTAGTTGGTTGGTTGGTTTTATGTAAATCTGACTTAAATTTTTTTAAATAGACAGATATCTATTTAAATTAGTTAAGTCATATTTACATAAAACCTTACAAATTTCAAAGTTCAAGTAAAAAATATAAAAATTCTAACACCTAATAAATATTTCTTAGGTTAGGTTTACATATACAAACATTTATATTAATTGTATTTATCGTTTTTGTAAGTCTATATTTTTATCTAATTATTTAAATCAAAACAACCGGCTGACCCAAAAAAAATAAAAAGCAGGAGATACGTCTCTGAAAAATAATTTTAAAATAAACGCTCTTATCAATTTTTTACATTCACTAAGCTCTTTTTAACACGCTTTTATTAGCTTGGTATGTATGTATGTGTGTAACCGAATTTTCTAATTTGATTTTCACCCACTTCAAAACGTTGAATTAAATTGAAACTTTGGACATTTATCAAGTACCGATGACAATGCAATAATTTAAATAGTTTGTCATATTATTGATCTATCTATCTACCTGGATTTTTCCATACCTAAAAATAAGGTAGTGTCTGTTGCCACTTACTAAGTCGTATGCTAAAGCATATGTGTTAAATTATTTTTTTATTTTTTAGTTTTAATAAGATGGTAATCATTATTAATGACTTAATTAAAAAGGAAAAAATAACAATAGTTTAAAAAACACTTTTGTAGCTAACCGAACTAAGAATTAGGAAATAATTTTCTATAAGTTCAAAAAGAAAAATCATTTTATCGTACATCATAAAAAGCGTGGGGTGCTTTGCAAGGTATTTTATAATATAATAACTTTACTTTTACTAATATCTATCAATAAAATATTTTTACAACAATTGAGATCTAGCACCCCAGACTTTTTTAATTCAGTCTGCTACAACAGTGCAAAGTTATATACACCTAGAATGCGAATGTTAAGACGGATGTGTGGTGTGATTAGGAGAGACAAGTTGAGGAATGCATATATTAAAGAAAACCTGATATAAGCGACCTGATATACCTAAGTGGATAAAAAGTTGAGGAGCACCAAAGAAAATATAAAATGCGTTATATATTGCCAGAAAGGGAGTAAGTAGTAAACTGATAAGTGATGGAGGAGAATGGATGGAGAAGGTCAGGAAGATGATGGGTATAATAATAGTAAAAAAGAATCTTTTACACTTGTTTCGTCTAAAAATAGTTTAGAACTTGGACACATTTTTAAACTAATTTAGAGTAAATTTATCAACGACCACAAAATAGTGAACATTTATTATATATGGTGAATATTGTTACAGAAATGATAAATCTCGGCACAGCTTCTATACTGAATAGAAGAACCTTATTAACTGCTGCAAATTTACTGGATCCTTATATGAATGACGCGCGAACAGTGCGTGTTTGGGCCCTAGGTCGAAAGGGGGAATTTAATACGCCTTGGAGATATCGTGTTTGGAGATTGACAAGAATAAATCCTAGGAGTACAAATCCGGAACATTGCCACGGCCCCTTTTGTTACCATACACCCCGTCACGACGTTTGCATTATTCATACGTTGGATCAAATGTATATTTTTCATGAAATATCGCCAAAATATGCCTATGCAACAAGAACATTCTTAACGCGCCCTTGGGAATATTTAACGTCAAATGATCTTTTCTACGCAGGTTCGGGGTTTGAATATCACGAACATGTTGCTGAAAATTATAAAATATTTTTCAGTATTACTTCCATATATTTTATTAAAGATTGTTCACGTTTTCTACCAAAATGGTGGGGAAAATTTATTTGTATTCGTAATCACCAAAACTTTCCAGGTGTACAAAACGGTGGTCCTTTAATAAACTCTGCAAACCTTGTAGGATTAGGATGTTTTATGCATACTTACCAAAACGAGAAATATTTTGTGTTTACAGACCTTAGATATTACGTCTGGTGGATTCATCAATTGGCAGCAATTAGGCCTGGTGAATATTATGAATATGCATATCCACACTGGGGTACGTTCTTAGAGTACTCGTACTATGAAGATGATGATAGAGACCTTGAGTGGGTGAATATTCCAACAAAGCAGATACGAGATAGCTTGTATCCATTAGGTTAAAAATAATGACACACTAGTTCCTAACCCTCTTGTTAACACTACACTACATAAAGATATTTACACTTGAGTTTGACATTGGTTGCAGCTTATCAAACTTCCTCATCACTTACTGAAAATTCGTTCAAACATAGCATAGTTTTTCGTTTATGAATTACATATCCTCGGGATCCTCCTCGTCTTAAACACAGGGATTCCAGAATTAAGTTTTATTAAGTTCATAGAGTACTAACTGACCCGCGCAACTTTTTCAGATCCTCTATTCTCCTAGACTATTCTAGATCTCTATTGGTCATAGCAAGATGTTATCTAGCTTATATACTTCCTCTATAAAAGAGCTAATCTAACATTAAGTTATTTTCAAATTGACCCAGTAGTTTCTGATATTTCCCCTAACATACAAACTCAAAAACTTTCCCTCTTTATATTAAAAGTATAGATAAAGAGTATTTACTGTGAGTTTAAAAAGGGCTGCTACCAAAAATAACAAAATTTCATTTAAATTTTCAAAAACCATTTTGCACCCTTAGCGGTGGAAATTTTAAGAATCCTTTCTTAGTGCACACCTAAGTTACCTAAGGAATATTTGTGTTAAATTTCGTGCTTCTAAACCAAGCGGTTTTAGCTGTGCGTTACTCGATCAGTCAGTGAATCAGTCTGTCAATTTCTTCTTTTATGGATACAGATATGTATCCGACTATAAATAGCTAAAGTAATTAAATGCATTCAAAAATTAAACATGTCCATAATTAGATTTTATTTTATTATCACACTAGCGACCTTATTCGGATTGTAATAAGCAATTATACCTGCCTAATGATTTATTTCTATTCAATCACTTTGTCTATTAGTGAAACCGTATTAAAATCTGTTTGTTACTTTTTGAGTTTATCGCAAATATGGTATATTTTTTTTTTTTACGTTATTAATTTAATCCTGTATAACTGTTTAACTATGTATTGTTTTTGTTATTTTTGGACTTAGCACCGACTTCAACCACTAGTAGGTGTCTAGCACATATAATATTTTATTTAAATTAATAGATAACGGGTTTAGACAAGATTTTTCACATTATAATTGTATAATTAGATAATTATAAATTGTAATTGGGTATTAAATAGTTTACCGTAGGTATAGTAACTAAGATCACTGTTACTGTATAGATAAGCGAGTGTTTAGTTTAGTTGATTTTTGTACCGGAATTGTAATATAAAATTGATTTATAGGTTTGGGTAGGAAATCGCATGTAAATATCAATTACTTTTTGGTTTGTAGTCACTGGGTGTTTTTTGCCGCGGCAGCGACCGCCCAGCGCCAGTTCCAATCTATTGTTGGTGAATCATTTGGGTATATTTTTGGGAAGTTTTTATGTTTTGAATTATCTTTGAGTCGGACTTTTTGGTATTCGATCTATTGAAACTCGGTATTTTTAGCATAGTAATTATAAACGTTAGGAATATTGACATTTTTTAATTATCAAAATAGGATGAATAATCAATCAGAGTTGTTATAACTGGAATTTTGAACCAATCGGTATTATGAAAATCGGTATTTTAAATTTAGTATTTGTGACTGACGGAATAAAGATTTTCGTATTTATGTAGTGATCGAATGATGGGTGTTGTAAAAGAGTTCATTTATTAAGTCGGTTAAAAATAATTTTATTTTTACATTTTAAGTGGCAAGTATTTGTATTTTGTTTATATATAATATGGATGGAGCAACGAATTTGAATATTTAACGTACTGCTCCAATGAGACAGCAAGGTTTCGTGAGTAAACAAAAATATCATCGATGTATACAATTTTTTTATATTTTCGTTGCCTTTTCAGTAACCGATTTACCGATTTCAATAAAATTAAAATGAGACCACTAAAGAAGTATACCGTTTAAAACAGAAAAAGAATTTTAAAAATCTGTTCAGGCGTCTTCAAGTGAACATACATAAAAAAAGATTCTGACGAATTGAGAACCTCCTGCTTTTTGATTTCCATATTAGCGTTGACTCCCTAGTCATAGGACGGCAAGTCTCATTTTTCATCTCCTCTTTTTACGTTTACCCTTTTATATACCATACGTATACCTATACCATTTAAACCCACTAGATTCAAAGGAAGGAAATACTAATGAAAATGTACAATAGAGGTTTAGGTTAACAGATAAGTTGTGTGAATTATCCTTTAATGGTATAATTATGTATGTCTTAGTTGTATTTGTATAAGTCATTATGTAAGAAAATGTAGGTAATGCACATGGATACTTAATTTAATGTTAATAAAATAATATCATATAATAAAAATAATTAAGTATTTAATTATGTTCTTTTTATTTTTATTTATAAATGTTATTATTAAAAAATGTTTTACGTTATGTTCTAGCGTATTTTTTTCATTAATTTCAGAATAAAAATTATCGGCTTCCAGGGGCTATAATATACAAACTGAAATTGTTACAGAGCATAATGCAGTGCAAAACATTAACATTACTAGTTACACATCGCCATCTTGAATCCGCGAACGAATCCGGCAAACTATACAACAATAACATGGCCAGTAATTCGTCTAAAACTATCAAACCGTTTCTTGACTACTTCTTTATATCATCATCTTCTTGCATATGAGTCACTACAAGTTTATTCAATAACGAGGCCTTTCTAGCAGGTCCGCTAGACTGATAAATATATTTCAGCTTATCCCAAATAGTCTTGAAACTTCCCAAACCATCCAACGCAGCTAACTCACTCTTGCTTATCAACAACAATAAATCCGACTTGGATTTTCTATCCATTTTAATCCAATCGAATCATTAATATTTCGAATCACTTAACTGTGGTTTTGGTAGCGCTCCCGGTACATACTCCCATAAATCGTCTTTAATCAAAATTTTTATTACACTTACTGACTGTCTCTGGGCTCATAACCCGAAGGATTATAGCTAAAATAAATGGTTTTACTAGCTTTAATTACTTTATTTTGGTAATAATTCAAGACCACAATATATATATGTTAGCGGTGGAGGCGCATCAAAAATGAACGGACTGTTAACATTAAATGACCGATACCATAACAAGCTTTTACTATGTTTCCAGTAACCAATAAGATCCTTGAAGAGGTAAAAGTACTGGATAAAGTAAAGCATCTTGATTCTTCAAAACGTCCCGGGCCTGATGAGATCCCAACTCGTGGTGATTTAAGACTATATTTCATCACGCTACCACCAATATGGGCCGGGTATCAATCAAAATGTTGCAAAAACGGGGCAAATGTATTCCTTTTGAGAGACGCAGGTGAAGTTGCGCTGAAGATGGTCAATGACAATTACTTTGAAAAGCTTTCTCTTATGACATACTGAAGTGAAAAAAAATTAAATGATTTAGTCTGTTAGAGTTTGAAAGTTTGTATCGACTTCCTTAGTATTCAGAACTTTGAACTTACGGCTAAATACAATATTTTTACTGTGGCTGAAATGTAAGATTATTATTATCGAGTGCATGGCAATGTAGTTGCTGTGAATATCGGATTCACCCCGCTCGCTCTGGCTTAAGAGAATTGGCGCAAATCTGTGGTACCTAGTACTAATGATCGTAGGGAAGTATGGAAGAGCAAAGAGCTCCATGGCCGATTTAACGGGTCCTAAACGGGTCCGATATAGACTTTAAAGCATCTACGACTTGGCTACGGTATGGTGATCTCTTCGGAGAAACAGAAGGTTTGGTTTGTTCGATTATGGACGAAGTTATCATGACGAATAACTATCGGAAATATTTCCTGAGAGATGGTACGGTTGACATCCGTCGGGCATGCCACCGTCCTGGGGAATCAATCAGGCATATGATTTCTGGTTGTTCTCGTCTCGCTAACAGTAAATATTTGCACAGGCATAACCAAGTAGCCAGGATCGTACACCAAGAGCTTGCCCTTGAATACCAACTTGTAAATCTAGAGGTGCCATACTACAGGTATGTGCCCGACCTAATTCTCGAGATTGATCAGGCCTCGTTGTATTGGGATCGATCTATTATCACAGATAGGACTATTGTTGTCACCTGCTATTGTAATGATAGATCGATTAGAGCGCCGCTCAATGATTGTAAATATCGCCGTTCCTCATGACGAGAATCTCGTGAAAGTTGAAAAAGAAAAACAAATAAAATATTTGGATTTATCTCACGAGATTGCCGATATGTGAATTCAGTGATCATTGTTCCGATAGTCTTCTTTGCTCACGGATTGATAGCCAAGAGCCTCGACCAACACCTTAAGAGGCTGATGTTGGACAGCTGGATCAAGGTTCTGATGCAGAAGGCAGTCCTCCTTGACACGGCTGGTATAGTGAGGAGGTTCCTATCTTTGGAACCCTAACCACCGGTGTCCTGGTCCCGTACCCGTTGTCGGTGGTCTACTATTTTTTTTATTTTTAATTGTATTTTTATTTCTTTTGTAATAAATTTAAAAATGTAATTAATATGTATATATTATTTAATAAAAAGAGAATAATAATAATATTTTCACACATCTCAGACAAGGCCGCCTGATTCTAAACTAAGCAGAGCCTGTGGTAACCAGATTGCTGATAAAAATACTTATATATTTTTAAATACATACATATTATAGATAAAGTACACCCAGATACAGAACAAATGACCGTGCTCATCACACAATATTTGCCCTGGGTGAGAATCGAACCCACGACCTCTGACGTAGCAGTCAGGGTCACTAACCACTAGACCAACAGGTCAGTCTATATCTATAAATCATAAAGGTTTTCAAAATATGTTAGCGTCAATAATATGATCTGTTGTAATTTACTTGATAAATGGTTTAGACCGTTCTGCTCCTAAGATACCCTCTAATCTAAATGACATATTAGCAACCCTTTTGAACCCCAGGCTTTTGGGATTTACGTCCATCATGTTCAGAATATTTGGAAAGATTTATCACGTCATTAGATGTTTTGGGATAAAATATAGAAGTTACTAGAAATCGATAATATTTATTGACAAT